ATGCACATGCAATACCAAGAAAATTTACTATTGGAGTCGGAGTTGCGATTTTCTTTTACGAATCCGACTCTAATAATTATGTCACAACTCCGACTCCACGATTCTGAGTCCAACTCCCCTGATGTATATATAAATAATATATATATATATATATATATATATATATATATATATATATATATATATATATATATTATTATTATTATTATTATTATTATTATTATTATTATTATTGAGTTGTGTTGTATTCTGTTGGATTTAATACGGCTCTTTGTCGGTTTAAGAGTGATCGATATTTATAAAATAGATCAAAATATATTAAATATTTAAATGAAAAAAATACAACTTTTTTATGGGACTTCAAGTTTCATGCCGTTCGGCAATCATTCAGCCATATATTTAAAAATCATTAAAATAAAAACCGTTATAAAAATACAAAATTGCGTTGCAAAGAGATTAAACGTCAGTTTTCACGCCAAATGGGAATTTATTTAACCGGTGTCAAATTCGATAGCAAAAACTTTTTTCTGTGCCTACATGCTGAAACCAATTCACTTTTTTTATTTAACAAAGGTTCTTTATTGTATGTTGAAATAAAATATTTCTCATTTATGCAAAGATTACATCTTTTTGAGGATGGGTTATAGGGTTGACATTTTTTAACAATACTCCACTTGATTATTGGTTTAATGCCTGCTTCCTTAAGTTTCCAGATCTCTTTAGAAAGTTCAGTGTCATTTTTATATCTGACCAAGTTGAATGATTTTATGTGGTTTGCAAACCTAATCTTGCAGGAGGGTTCGCTAATACCAATATAAGATTTCTTAGCGTGGTTGACGTTCCCTGGTGTTACGGTAGCTTTGTAAACAATATTTTTAGTTAGACATTGATTTTCTTAAGGACACGCAGCTCTGTCTATACAGTTGCATTTTCTAACGTTTTCGGTATTTTGGTTACGCAAAATGTGTTGGTTGTGAGACTTAATAAGAGCTGCGTGTCCTTTAGAAAATCAATGTCTAACTAAAAATATTGTTTACAAAGCTACCGTAACACCAGCGAACGTCAACCACGCTAAGAAATCTTATATTGGTATTAGCGAACCCTCCTGCAAGATTAGGTTTGCAAACCACATAAAATCATTCAACTTGGTCAGATATAAAAATGACACTGAACTTTCTAAAGAGATCTGGAAACTTAAGGAAGCAGGCATTAAACCAATAATCAAGTGGAGTATTGTTAAAAAATGTCAACCCTATAACCCATCCTCAAAAAGATGTAATCTTTGCATAAATGAGAAATATTTTATTTCAACATACAATAAAGAACCTTTGTTAAATAAAAAAAGTGAATTGGTTTCAGCATGTAGGCACAGAAAAAAGTTTTTGCTATCGAATTTCGACACCGGTTAAATAAGTTCCCATTTGGCGTGAAAACTGACGTTTGATCTCTTTGCAACGCAATTTTGTATTTTTATAACGGTTTTTATTTTAATGATTTTTAAATATATGGCTGAATGATTGCCGAACGGCATGAAACTTGAAGTCCCATAAAAAAGTTGTATTTTTTTCATTTAAATATTTAATATATTTTGATCTATTTTATAAATATCGATCACTCTTAAACCGACAAAGAGCTGTATTAAATCCAACAGAATACAACACAACTCAATAATAATAATAATAATAATAATAATAATAATAATATATATATATATATATATATATATATATATATATATATATATATATATATATATATATATATATCAGGGTGAATTTTCAACTTAAGCAAAACAATTGTTCTTGCTTTTTTGAGTTAATTGGCATTCAACCAGAATTTAAATGTATATAAATGTATATACATGGGCGCTGAGGGGCTAGACGCTGCCAGGAATAGCAATCCTAATTGGCACCCCTATTGTTCTAATTATTCCTACATTATTAGTGAATGACCTTATTTTTGAAAAACCTGTATTTATTCAGCACCTATTTAACATCTTCCAGCCTTAACAAACTATCTCTTTTGCCACCTCATCTCGGTGCCCCTGTATATATATATATATATATATATATATATATATATATATATATATATAATATATATATATATATATATATATATATATATATATATATATATATATATATATATATATATATATATATATATATATATATATATATATATATATATATATATATATATATATATATATATATATATATATATATATATATATATTATATATATATATATATATATATATATATATATATATATATATATATTATATATATATATATATATATATATATATATATATATATATATATATATATTATATATATATATATATATATATATATATATATATATATATATATATATATATATATTTATATATATATATATATATATATATATATATATATATATATATATATATATATATATATATATATATATATATATATATATATATATATATATATATATATATATATATATATATATATATATATATATATATATATATATATATATATATATATATATATATATATATATATATTATATATATATATATATATATATATATATATATATATATATATATATATATATATATATATATATATATATATATATATATATATATATATATATATATATATATATATATATATATATATTATATATATATATATATATATATATATATATATATATTTATATATATATATATATATATATATATATATATATATATATATATATATATTAGGATAGTTTTTTTTTCAACTTTTTTTTTAAAAACTAGGCACAACCTCTAAATGTGTTTAAAATAATAAAATAACACTAGGTTTTAAAATTTTTTTGAATGAAAAATATTTTAAGGGATTCCCCAAGACCCAGAAATGTAGGTCTTGAGACTAAAGTCTTGGTCTCGAGACACTTCGAGACTTATATTTCACTGTCTTGGTCTTGGTCTTGAAGCCTAAAGTCTTGGTCTTAGTCTTGGTCTAGTCGAATCTCTACTGTCTTTTACTTGCTTGATTCTTACAAAAAATGTCAACTCAATAGGCCAGGTTAATAAAAATGAGCAATTGCTTTTACTAAGTAATTGGTTTCCATTACGTGAATAAAAACTTTATCAATCTTCACGTAAGTCTGGCCAATTAGCAATCATGTAAAGCTGGCCAATTAAAGCAATTTCCTGCTCTCAACAATAATTGAGACGTTAAACGGATTTGTGATGGTAGTATGTACTTGTTATTTATATTGCAGATAAATTTCCGAAAATTTAAATTCACGACAAGAGATAATGGAAGTAAGCATCCAAAAATAAGGTTTGCAACTAAGGAGTCTGTAATTTTAATTAAAGACTCCTTGTTGAACTATTCAGTTTTGTGAATAATGTGTCTATATTTATTTGTTTGCAATTGAAGTTATTATGTTTTTGCGTGTTTTTCAGGGTGAACATTTCTCTGTCTGAAATAAAAAAAGTTGAAAGGTTATATAAGTACAAGTAGTATAAACTTGTCTGTTTAACTTCTTATACAAAGTACTTAAATAAAAATATATAAACGTTACTTGAACGGGTCATTTTAGATTTAACTTAGATTAACAATCGGGGTGAATATGGCTAAAGATGAATCTGAAATATCAGCCACAATTACGCTGATTCTGCTTAAGACAAAGATATAGTATATACAATATAATATATCATTGTCTCAAGCAAAATTATTGTAATTGTGTCGGGATTGCGGCTAATATTTCAGATTCATCTTTAGCCATCAAATTCATCTTTAGCCATTTTTTTTACTTATGTTGTTTCTGAAATGACCAATTCACTTTATTTTTTGTAACTGTAGTATGTGGCTACTGGTTTACCATGTCTGCTATTTGTTTTTAGACATTTTTTATTGGTACAAAAAAAGTTAGTTTGTTATTGTTGCTATTATTACTGAAAGATTTCTGTTAATATTAAATATATCTTTTGTAGACTGCAATTATATTATTCACGAGTAACTACATTTAATTATAAGTAATGTTTATGAATGCTAAATTTTACACACCAACCAAGGTTTAATAGTATTTAAACACTTTTTTTTTGACACAAGCAAAACCCAAGCAATGAGCTAAGTAGATCCAGCATTTAACATTCTAAACTGAAAGCAATGCATTAATACATTATAATATATTATAAATACATCTACACTAGCCTAATAAAAAAAGAAGGGGTACAAAGCTGGTCAACAAATAGAACCTGTTTACCCCTTACACGTGAAAATATGGATTTTATTGGACTTCTTTAAATATAAGTCTTGATCCTGGTCTTGTAAAAACCTTTGAAGTCTTGGTCTAGGTCTTGGGTTGATTTTTTTGATGTGTTTGTCTTGGTTTTTGTCTTGAAGCATTTATTCTTGGTCTTAGTCTTGGTCTTGAGTCTAAATGTCTTGGTCTTAGTCTTGGTCTTAGCCTTTACTGTCTTGACTCTCAGTCAAGACCCTTGAATTTTTAAAGGGTCCCTAATATTTAAAAAAAAAGTTTTTTAAAAGTAAGTCAACCATGTACTCAAATGAAGAGAAATTATATAAAAATTTCAAAAATAATTATTATTTTGAAAAAAAAATTAACTTAGGTTTTAATGCATAAAAAATAGCGTTTTTTAACAAAAAATGAAAAAAGTACATTTTTTTTTAAAAGTTTTCATGAAAATTCCGATAAATAAATTGAAAAAATTATTTTTGTTCAAAATGATTACTATTTTTGAAATTTTTACATAATTTTAATTCATTTGAGTACCAGGTTGACCTTTTTTTTTTAATACTAGAGACCTGTTAAATATTCAATGGTCTTGGGGGACCCCTTAAAATATTTTCTATTCAAATTTGAAAAAAAAGTTGAAAAAAAAACCACCCTAATATATATATATATACATATATGTATTATGCAATCGCAAAAATTATATAATAACAAAAATTTAAAATACTAACTTGAAACTTTGAGATGATTGAACCCATTTTCTAAAAAAACCATCTTAGTTATTAAAATTGCAATAATTATAATGATTACAATTTTTATACCTATCCTTTCAATTTATTATAACATAAATATAAGCACTTTTTTACAAAATTATTAAATAAAAAACTAGTGTGATTTACATAAAAGTGGTATATGTTTTTTTTTTTTTTTTTTTGTATTTTTAAAAAAACAATAAATTAGCAAAATAATACTTATGTTATGTTTTCAATTAATTTTCTTCCACAGCTATTTTATTTATATTTAGATTTTCCAAGCATAAAAAATATTTTTGATTAACCTGCTCTAAAAAAAAGTTTAAGTAAAAAAAAAAAAAAAAAAAAAAAAAATATATATATATATATATATATATATATATATATATATATATATATTATATATGTATATATATATATATATATATATATAATATATAATATATATATATATATATTATATATATATATATATAATATATATATACAATATATATATATATAATATATATATATAATATATAATATATATATATATATATATATATATATATATATATATATATATATATATATATATATATATATATATATATATATATATATATATATGTATATATATATGTATATCATATCATATCATATTATTTTGATTGTGAAGTTTATACAGATTTAAAGATTTGGAAAAGGGTTTAAATGCACTTAATGCTATATTTTTAATGGCTAATTCACTTGCTTACTTACTATATGCTGTAGTAGAGCTAAATGCAAAATTAATATTTTTAATTTGAAATTTACATATATATGTAATTTACAAACAAATTGTTACTTTTACATTTGCAATATGATATCGGTTTATCATAATATAGTACTGCATAGAGATGATTGACCTTGGAAGAGATGATACCTTATAAAGATTCATATTTTAATAGAATTTTAATATTTAATAGACTCTGATTTTTGATAGTAAAAAAACATTTCTTGGAAAGAAAACGAGGACTATGTACAAATTAATTTTTTCACTCGCATTTCTTTTAACTGGAGTTATACGCGCTGACTTCACGCGCTTTCGGAATAGTAAGTGTGTGAGATATAATTAATCTCAAAAGCTTTTTAACGATTTAATATTTTATTACGATTTAATATAAAAAAAAATCAAATTGCACTCACATTCATGTGACTACAATAAGATAAATACTTTTTTTTTTTTTGATAAGTAAGGTTGGTTGAGACACAAATGTCTTAGGATTTGAAAAGATACCCAATCTTTATAATTAGGTTTTATTAGTTGATTCAAAGACGCAGTATTAAAAAGTACTAAACTTTCATCAATTGACGATTTGTTACAATGATTTATCATTTTATGACAAAAATTTTGTGTGAAACATAGAAATTACATCTGTTCTCAAATTTAACATTGATAGGTCATGGCCTACTATATTACAATATAGTAATAAACGAAAGTTGACGTAAAAAAATCATTAAAACCTTTGAAAAAGATGAAATAATAAATGTTAAACATCGTTTAAACAATCAATTAACGGATATTCGCAACCAACAAAAATCAAGATATTATTTATCTAAAAAAACTTTAAACTCTGATTACATCAATCCCACTAATACTTTTGAAGCTGTACCAAACAAACCTATAAAAAAAATTATCTGATTTAACTAGCCAACTTCATTCTATCAGGCTGAAACATAAGAAAAAGTTTTTAAAGTACCAAAAAATGGTTAATAAAATAAGTAAATCTATCGTAATTTCGGATAAACCTAAATTATTTAAAAAAAACCGGTCAAACAAAATCCAGTAAAGATAATATGAGTAAGGTTACTAAAGAGACAAACAGTTATAAATGGCCATCTGGCACTGTTTATGTGGTGATTAAATTCTCATAGGAGTAAATGAAAAAAAAAAAATCTCAAGTCAGGAAAAGGTAAAGTACGAACATTTAAAGGAGTAGTTATTGAAGATATACACTATAATTTAATTCCACTTTTGAAGAAAGAGCCATTTATACTAATCCTCCATATAGGAACAAACAATTGTGTCGATGATTCATCGGAAACTATAATGAGAAAAGTTAAAGATCTTGTCGAACGTATATTAAGTTTGAATTCATCCTGTTTGGTCATTTTATCTTCCAAGACTTTTCGTTTTGATAACGCCAAAGCCCAGCTGACTTCTAAATATTCAACAAATAAGTTTAAAGAATCATGTTTTAATATGATTGATAATTCTAACAGCTCTAAAGAACATCTTGGACAACAGGGTCTCCATCTAAATACGCGAGGTTCGGGTAAGTTAGCTATGAATTTTATTACTTATTTGAAGTCTATTGAATATTGACCCCCCCACCCTTAACTTATGATTTCCAAACAACCTTACTTAACCCCAATGAAGAAAATAGTAATAGGTCTGATTTAGATAAACTTAGGGCTAAATATCCTCCCAATGTTAGTCTAGCTTTCATCAATATTAATTTTATCCGTAATAAGTTCACAGATATAACTAATTTTATTAATAAACCTGTTGATGTGCTTATTATGGGTGAAACTAAAATAGATGACTCTTTCCCTATTAGCCAGTTTCTATCGCTTTGATATATCCCATCAAAGTGGAGGACTTAGTGTGTATATTAATGATAACATTACCTCAAAAAGATTAAATGGCGTAGTCATACCCACTGACGTTCAAATTTTAACTTTTGAAATTAAACTAAGAATTCGAAAAAATGAACAATTATAGCTATTTATAAGCCTCCTTAATTAGAAAAATGACTATTTCTTTGTCAACTTTCGAGGGATTCTTGATTTTTACTTGCAATCATAAAATGATTATATAATTATTGGAGATTTTAATTTACAACCTCATGATGCATAATGAACGAATTTCTCTGCCTTTATCAATGTAGTAATTTAATTAAAGCACCAACTTGTTTTAAATTGGTTGTAAAACCTACGTGTTTAGATCTTATCCAAACAAATAGAAAAACGTGTTTCCAACACTCTAAGACTATCTGTATGGGTGTTAGTGACCATCACGATCTTATTTTTACAATGCTCAGGGCTACCTTCTGTAAGTTACCTCCAAAAAGATGAATTTACAGGTTTTTTAAAAACCTTTTCAAGTTTTGTATTTTCTGAAATAATAAAAAGTAAATTGAGATTTTGTAATGACATTAATGAGTTTAACGCTATCTTTAGCAACTATTTAAATCTTAAAATATTAAAAAATTGATATGTTCCATTAAAAACTAAAATCTTAAGAGGCAACGATAAGCCATTTATGACTAAGAATTTTAGAAAAGCAATTATGCTTCGCTCAAAATTAAAAAAAAAATTCCAGATTGAAAAATCAGACATTTCTTTGTCTCTTAATAGAAAACAAAGAAACTAGGTAATGAAATTGAATAAAAAAGCAAAGAAAATATATTTTAGTGAGATAAATTTATTCAAGTCTTTCACTACATCTCTATGGAAAATATGCAAGTTTTTTCTTTTTAATAAATCTGGTAACTCGAGCGATTGAACATGCGGAAACTATTTCGGATAACTTTCAAATTTCAAATATTTTCAACTTATATTTCACTAACGTTGCGTCGTCTCCTATAAATAGTGAGATGAGTTATCGTCCTTCTTCTTGCAATGAACATGTGTCTGTTGAATCTGCTATTATAAGATATGCAAACCATCAAAGTATTATAAACATTAAAAACAAATCCAAATTATATCCTCAAAATTTTAAATTTCATCAAATTACTCCTGATGATATAACAAAAATTAGTTGTTCTTTAAATAATAAAAAGAAGACTAGTGGAGATATTCCAACGTTTATGTTAAAAACTTATTCCACGGAAAACCTCACTTCTTGTATAAATAATTGCATATTCCAAGGCAAATTCCCGTCATTCCTAAAAATAGCCGATGTTATACCATATTTAAAAAAAAAATGACCCTACTGGTAACTGTAACTTCCGCCCAATAAGTATTCTGCCAGTTCTCTCAAAAGTGTTTGAAATCGTTTTTCACGAGCAAATACGAGTTTTCATAGAGCCAAGCTTTAACAAATTGCTGTGTGGATTTCGGAGAGGGTATACTGCACAGCACGCACTTTTTAAATTAGTAAATAAGTGGCAAGAATGCTTGGATAAAGGAGGAATAGTTGGCGCTATGCTTATGGATTTATCAAAGGCATATGATTCAATTCCACATGATTTGCTTATAGCTAAGTTGGAAGGTTATGGGTTTTCTTACGAAAATTTTTTTTATAATCTTACCTTTCTGCTCGCAAACAGAGGGTAAGACTAGGATCGTCATTTTCTGAATATTCAGATATGGAATCTAGTGTACCTCAAGGCTCAATTTTGGGACCAATTTTCTTTAATATTTTACTCAACGATTTTTTTTATTTATAAAAGACTCTGAAATTTGCAACTATGCTGATGACAACACTCTTTCTGTTTGTGACAACAACCTAAAGAGTGTTATTGCTCGTATTCAAATAAAAAATATAAAACGCGATTTCAATATTTACCTTGAATAAAATGGTTGCAAGTCCGGAAAAATTTCAATTTTTTTTAGCTGGCCTAAAAAATTGTAAAGATCAATTTTTAATGATTGGAAATGTAAAAATCATGGTTTCCTCTAAAGTTAAACTTCTCGGGGTTACAATTGATAAGAATTGATGATCAAATTAAAAGTCTGTGTGGAAAAGCGAATAGTAAATGCTTCGCTCTTTCACGAATAAGGAGCTCCTTATTAGTAAAACAAGCTACTGTTTTATTCAATGCTTTTATACTGTCAAATATTTCCTATTGTCCTTTGATTTGGATGTTTTGTTCCAAGTATAATAATAACCTAATTAATAAAATTCATCAAAAAGGACTTTGCATTGTCTATAAAAGATTTGATCTCCCTTACAAGAAATTCAAAAAAATAGAAAATATCCCAAATATCCACCTTAGAAATTTAAGGTTTTTGTTAACTGAAGTTTTTAAATCTATAAATGGTTTAAATCCAGATTTTATGTTAGATCTTTTTATCAAAAAATCCCTGGCGTTAAGTCTTCGACGTAGTGAAAAATTAGTACTCCCACCCATAGTCTCTAAATATAAGTTCATAAAAAGTAACTTATATAGAGCAACCTTGCTATGGAACTAAATAACCAACTTGTTGTATTTATTGACATTTATATTATTATTAAAATAACCAACTTGTTGTATATTATTGACATTTATATTATTTATTATGTAAGCTATTTTTATTTAACTTTATTTTATTTAAATTTTATTCACGATATGTATGTTTGTTTGTATTGTCTTATACAATTTAGTGTGTTGATTTTAATTTGTTTTATGTTGATTATAAAACTATTGTAAACAATCAACTAAAGTTTTAAATAAATAAATAATTTATGTGACCTCGCAGTAGAAAAGTACCACATGGCGGGATCTAGTGTCTGAGAAAATCACGTTTAAACACAGTGACCTGTGGTTTTTTTTTTCATTTGAATTTGATAGATGGATTTTCAGACTATTAGCTGAATTGATTATTTTGGTCATATTCTGTATAACATTCAACATTTTCCAAAAATATTGCAAACAACATTTTTATTAAAACTTTAAATTGATTTTCCCGACAATTGATTTTCCCAACAATTGATTTTCCCGACAATTGCCGTTTTTAATCTTTAGAATATAAAAAATCATAACTTTGAATGCAGTTGAACTATTTTAAAGAACTTGGTGTCATTTTGTTCAGTTTAATTAGCTTGTTTCTGTGGTATGAATAACTCATTCTCCCCTTCTGGTCCCTTTTCTACCGCGAGGTCACATATTTTAATATAAAAGTCCAAATATACATGGCCTGCTATATTACAATATAGTAATATATTGTGATATAGTAGGAAATTGATAGATATATCAACAAAGATGGTTTGAG